ACTCAGAAAGGGGTCAAAACTGGAGATCCTGGATGGAATGGGAGAAAAATGTGGAACAAAACACAACCATAAAAAAGACCAGGCTTATTGGTCTGATAGAGACTGGTGAAACCCGAGACTATGGCTCCTAGTCACCCTTCAGACCTGGAACTGAACCCATTCCCATGGTTTAACCTTCAGCCAAACAACAGACAGGCCTACGAGGTGAACAATGACACCAGGGAGGTGCACTCCTTATAACAAGCAACCATGGGAGATCAGAAGGGCAGCATTTGCACAGAGAGATAGCTTAGGAAGCAGCAATGAATGGGACAGAAGGACACAGGGAAAAGGTAACCACAGGGAGGACACGGGAAAAAAGAGTGGAGTGCTGCTCTAACAGATACCAAATTGTGGAAGGGGTTTTGGAATTGGGTAGTGTAGAAGCTTACTATTAAGGTGCTTAATAGTAAAAGTCTATATTGCCATGAAGAGACTGTTGGTGGATTTTTGGACGTCAAATGCAATTCTGGTGAGGGTTCAGAAGGAAGTGAGGAGAGCTGCAACACCAGAGATGGCACAGGTAGAGAGAAGCTGGGGCAGAGCAATGGCGGCAGCAGAACCAGGAGACTGGCACGAGATGGTGTGGGGACCGACCCACTGGACAAGAGAGCTGAATGCTCTCAGGCAGGAAACTTCCTGGTGGAGTAGGGTGCCTCTGAGCACTTGTTGACAGAGTGAGGCTTGCCAAAAGAGCTAAGCGCCTCTGGGCCAAGGCTTGCTGCTGGAGTAGAAGGCCGCTGGGAGAGCTTTGCAACACTTGCCAAGCAGGATAGAGGCCAACACAGCCCAAGAGACCCAATGGGGCCAAGAGACCAAAGAACTAGGAAGCAGAAACTGAAGGGACAAGGAGCAGAGGAAGGAGTAAGTGATCTGATAGGAGCAGCCAAGCAGTTATAAGGGAATTAAGAGTGGGCTGCAACACCCTTACTCAGGTCACAGCCTTAATGTGATGCAAGGGGAGCTTCTCTAGGGTACGGCCTTCCTTCACTTTTTATCTCACAAGAGAGAAAAGGAAGCAGAGAAAGGACCTAACTACCACCAAGAAAGAAGAATTGGGAGTGGAGCCCAACCTGTGGACCCAGGGTTCCTGAGAACCTCCTAAACCCAGGGGAAGATCGATGCCAAAATATATGGAGATCTCCAAGGAAGGCCGGATCCACAGATGTTTAAAGAAGATAAGGACCTTCCGAGAGTCGACCCAGAGAGAAAGCCTTCCCCTAGAGCTGGTGCCCTGAATTTGGACTTCTAGCCTCCTAAGTGTAAGAGAATAAACTTCTGTTTGTTAAAGCCATCCACCTGTGGTATTTCTATTAGAGCAACACTGAATAACCAAGACATCATGCTTGGTAACGTAGAAGGTCAGTGAAAAAGGAAGACGCTCAACCAGACAGACTGACACATTGGCTGCAACAATGGGCTCAAACATAACAATGATGTGAGGATGGTGCTGGACCTGGCACCATCCTCACATGTTCTGTTGTCCATGGGATTGCTACAAGTCCGGAACTGACTCAATAGCGTGTAACAGCAACAATAATTTTCAAATGAGTAATCTGTTTGCTCTTGTTCTAATAATTAACTTTCAAAACATTACACATAAAGAAATTGGTGAAAACTTAAACCTAAGGTTCTGAGGTTTTTTTTTGATCCTCAGACTAGTACTTTATTAAACTTTTTGCGACTTCTTTCTTATGGTTCATTTGTCTATCTGTGACATTATAAGACTGATTTAACTGTTTTTTAACTTAGCCCCACTCTGGTAAGTCATAAATTTTCTTGAAAATGATCACAACAAAGTATTAATTCACATCAACTAAAAAAAAAAAAGGATATAATATACAGCATTTTTGAGGACTCTGGTGGTGTTGTGCCTAAGGCACTTGACTGCTAACCAGAAGGCTGGCGGTTCAAACCCACCAGCCACTCCTCGGAAGGAAGGTTGGGCAATCTACTTCCATAGTGATACTGCCTTGGAAACCCAAGGAGGGGTAGCTATGAGTCAGGTCCAACTCTATGGCACACAAAAACAACATACAGCATTCTTAGCTTGGGGAAAAATCTTTTGGAAAATTGAAAAAGTAAGCAAAAAGCTGTAAGTAATACCAAAATGTTGACACTGACAACTCAGACTAGAGGCTCGGTGTTGTTGCTGTGTGCTGCTGAATTGACTCTGACTCACAGAGACCTTGTAGGACAGAGTAAAACTGCCTCGTAAGGTTTCACGGGCTGAACTCCTTACAGGAGCAGATTACCATGTCTCTTCTCCTGCAGAGTGGCTGATGGGTTCCAACTGCCAACCTTTTGCTTAACAGCTGAGCACTTAATCATTTTGCCAACAGGGTTCTTTAGAAGCTCACAGTGAATTCTTATTTATGGCCTAGTTTTTTTTCCACATAAAGTTAAACCCATAACCAGGGTAGAAGAATAGTAGAGAAAGTTTGGAGTTACCATTATAAGAACACAGTCATCCCTACTTATCCCCATTACCCCCTTTTTCTGAAAAGACGAGGCAGCACACTCACGATTTTGACAGAAGGCCTCATCAGATCCATCAGGGCACTGCTCCACTCCGTCGCAGGCGAGAGTGATGTCAATGCAACAGCCATCATCACAGAAGAAGTGGTAGCGCGAACAAACCTTCAAGCATCCTGTTCATAAATAAGTGTCAATCACAGAGGGCAGGACAATGAAGACTTCCATGGCATCAAGATTAACAGAGACCACGTGGGTGCTGGAGCTCTGGATGATGCAAACAGTCACGTGGCTACTGACTGAAAGGCTCACCATGACTCAGAGTAGACTAGTTGGCAACTAGTTTTTGGTTTTTTGTTTTAATGTGTATGATACAATGCAAAGGGCCCTAGACGGCACAATGTTTATACTCAACTGCTTACCTAAAGGTTGGCGATTTGAACCTACCCGGCAGTACCATGGGAGAAAAAGGCCTAGAGGTCTTCTTTTAAGATTACAGCCAAGAAAACCCTATGAGCAGTTCTATTCTCTAACACGTGGGGTTGCCAAGAGTCAGAATCTACTCAACGGCAACTAGCCACAATAAGAACATGATAAGATGCATTTGGATAAAAAGATTAAGTTAATGAGGAGCTGGAGCAATGGGTTCTGAATAGGTTAGAGGATCTCTTCTTGATCCTTCTGAATTCATTCTCAGAGTCACCATGGCCCTTCAAGTGGAGCCATTCTCCAAGCTTACATTGCCTAAGAGGTAGGAACCGAGAAGCAGCAGCTGTGGTCATCTCCAACCGAGAAGCAGCAGCTGTGGCCATCTCCACCTGGGTTCCCTCCCTCTGTTCTTGCTCTGCATTCATTCATTCATCCCATCTCTGAGCTCCTCTTTCTCTGGCCATTCATGGCTTCTCAGTAAACCACCTAACTCCACCCCACCCCTGGATGGCACTGGGATGACCAAGTTTTAATGGAGATATTATTCTACATATGCTATATCTTGCATTTTTGTTTCCTAATTAATACTTTTCATTGAGGTTAGCTTCCTACCATTGAATGTTATCTGTTCATTACCATAACATTCTTCGTGCTGCAAAGAATAAACAGACTCTTTAACGACTAGATGATATGAATTAATTTCCAAAAAATGTACTTTTCTTCCTTTGGAAGCTCTTAAGTGTTTTTAATGGGCAGTGCAATTTGTAGGAGCTACAAGTATTCTCTGAAAAAAAAAAAGGCATCTTCCCCCTCTTCAGATTAAGTCAACTTCCCTAGACTTGGCCTTACAAGAATTGGTGACTGCCTGGCAGTAGAAATGCAGACAGAAGGCACCAGGCTAGAGTTAGAGCAATCGTAAGGAGTTGCACAATTTTCTAGGGATGGAATGGACTAAATGATCCCTTAGAAACATGGCAGAGTAGTAAACAAATGTTTTCATACTCCACAGAGAACAAATGGCTGAGCGCAGAACACACACCCAAGCATACTCTTCGATACATATTCTATTAAAAAGGAGTTATTTAAAGAGGTTGGGAAAGGAGTCCATCTGGGTGCAAGGCAACCTGAAGATATCTGGAGCTAGAAGGAAGAAGAGGGTAAAGAAAAGAAGTAGTACTAGGTATACAGCCCAAAGAATTGAAAGCAGGGGCTCAAACAGGTGAGATTGCACATGTGCAGGGTGGTGTGGCCGTAGACTGCAGGGACTCAAACAGGTATGTGTACACCAATGTTCACTGCAGCATTATTCACAATAGTAAAAATGTGGAAACAACCTAACTGTCCATCAACAGATGAATGGATAAACAAAATGTGGTCCATCCATACAATAGGATATCTTTCAGCCATAAAGAGAAATGAAGTTATGATGGATGCTACTGTATGGATGAACGTTGGAAACATTATGCCGAGTGAAGTAAGTCAGAAATATTGTATGACTCAAATTATGTGAAATATCTAGAACAGACAAGTACATAGAAACTAAAGTTTATTTGTGGTCACCAGGGGCAGGTGGGAGAGGGAAGTGGGAGGTAGTTAAGGGGTACTGAGTTTCTGTTAAGGGTGATGAAAAAAATTGGAAACAGAGAGTGTGGATGGTGACACAACATGGTGAATGTAATTAATGTCACGGAATTGTGCACATAAAGATGGTTGGAATGGCAAATATTTTGTTATGTATATGTTTCAGCTCTTAGAGAAGAAAGGTGAAGAAAACAATCTACGGTTTTGACTGAGAACTTGGGCCTACAAAGAAGAGTCCGCATCAGCCACAGGGAAGGAGTTGGGAGAAAAGGTAATGGGGAACTCTGCATAAAAGCAGGATGCAGTGACTGGTCACATGTGTTAAGTGTATGACATGAAAATCCTGTTTTACTCACTCTTTGGCAGTTCTTGGAGACAGACCTTCCTTTATCCATCTAGTTCTTTCTGGTTTTCCGTTGGCGTTAGGTGCTGTCAAGTCTATTCCAACTCAGCAACCCCACGTGACAGAGTAGAACTGCCATGTAGGATTCTTCAGGCTGTAATCTTTGCAGAGGAGCTCTGGTGGTGCAGTGCCTAAAGCCTTTGACTGCTAACCAGCAGGCTGGTGGTTCAAACCCACCAGCCACTCCTCAGAAGGAAGACTGGGCAATCTACTTCCATAATGATACTGCCTCGGAAACCCAAGGAGGGATTGTATGAGTTGGAACTGACTTGATAGCAGTGAGTTCGGGTTTTAATTTTGAGTTAATCTCTAGGTATTTCTTCTGTGAAGCCACTGGTGGGTTCTAACCATATTTTTCGATCAGCACCTGAGTGCATAACCATTGTGTTACTAGGGTTGTGATTTTCCCTATATTGGTCTCCAAATTTTTCTGACCATGTATCCTTATCAACAATATATTATTGAACATGTATCTCCAATATATGGTATTTATTTATAAATACTGCACATGTACTGCTATACTAATACATTTGTACACGTTGTAAAATATGCTGAAAACTTAAAGGATCAGATTCAAAATTATTAAGAGTAAGTTCTGGAGTCTTCTTCCGCACACTAATAGATGTCCTGAGCATCTCTGGGGTATCTTGTTTGGAAACCACTGATCCAGATTTTATTGAAAGTACTCATTGGCTTCCTATCTGCATATTTTTTTTAAGTTAGAAAATATCAGCCTCTTTATGCAAAACTAAGACAAGTTATTACCATATAAAATGAGCCTTTGTGGCACAAATGGGGAGCACTCAGGTTGCAATCTGAACCCATCCAACAGTTGGTGTGATGGTTTATGTCATGTGTCAACTTGGTTAGGCCATGATTCTCAATATTATGTAAGTTTCCTCCACTTTACAATCTGGTGTAATCATCTTCCATTTTGTGATCTGATGTAATTACCCTCCATTTTCTGTGTTGTGAATTCTAACCTCTATATGTTATTGAGGTAAGATTAGGTGGGGTGTATCTGAGTCTCACCCTTACAAGAGTTGCACCTTTATTCAAGTCTCACCCTTACTCAAGTCAAGAAAAAAGTAAGTATCTCTACAGGGTCCAGTCTCTCACACAGGCTATTATGCATCCCCTGGGAAACTGCCCCCAGCAATGCCACTTAAACAAAAATGTAATAGAGCCTGTTTTTGTTATTACATTTTTAGTAAGCCTCTCATTCAACACCAACCAAGAATAAAATGGAAGAGCCTATGGGAGGTGCAGTCTGAACATAAAATACTAATCCAACACCATCCTTCCACACAGAGTTTGTTTCTGTTGGCCACTGTGGACCTCTGAGGGAAGGACTTTTCTCCTCACCTCCTGTGGAGTAGGCCACGGGGAGCACAGTCACCGAGACGTTGTCAGAACTTCTCTGACCCACGGTGTCAGTCACGGTCAGCTGGAAGGTGTATGTTCCTTCTTGTAAGTGGGACAGCTTCAGCGTTCCTGAGTGAGGCACCTGATGCCCAAACAGGAAACATCATATGTAGTTAGGAGACCTGTGACACAGAGTTTAACATCATCCCAGTCTGGAAATCTGTCATCCTTGGAGTGGTCTCATGATCTGCCTTTCCATGCCTGGTCCACACAGCAGGTTGGCCCCCTCTTGAATTCATGATTTCCAATTTTATCTGGGATGGCAATATCCTCAGCTGATAATCCTTTTACTTGTCCTTAGCAGCTACTGTTCCAAACCTACCCCCTCTCCAAGTTCCACCCCAATATGGAGTCCATTCCCTCTCAGTAGGTGACTCCTGTTCCAAGGGAAAAATGTGTACCACAGTTATGGTTATTGTTACAGCTTCAACAGCCACCCACCCCAGCCACTAGGGATTGTAATTTTATTACAATTCAGTGGCACTTATTACATTCCCAGTGTAGTACAAACATCACCTGTGTGCCAACTAACCCCTTTGTCTAGTCCTTGACTCATTGACTTATTAATTAATTTTTATTTCAAATGACTCTGCTATTACTATGCTCAGGTTTCTCTCAGCCTGAAAAACAGCAACAACTAAAACACTCTCTGAACTTCACAACTGCCTCTAGCCACAACTTTACTTTCTATCCGTGCTTCACCTCTTAAAGGGTTGTCTATATGACACTTGCTGTTTCCATCTCTTCATTTCCCATTTATTCTTTTTTTTTTTAATTGGGGTAAACATACATGTAAAACTACATTTGCTTTCCAACATTTTTTGTATGTATAATTTAGTGGCATTAATGACATTGATCATGGTCAACTATTACCACTATTGTTTTTCCCACTTTCTTCATTTCACTCATTTGACTCCTTTTCCCACAATTCCGTAGAACTACTGGCAAAACTAAGATCTAGCAAAGGTCACCTAGTTGTCAAATTCAATAACTATGTATTAATTAGTCCTTTTTTCCTTATTAATCTTTTTCAACAGGCCCTCTGACTGCATTTAACAATGTTGTCCACTCTCGTCTTTGTGACACTCCCACTTCCTTGGCTTCTGTTCTGTCTCCCTGTGCCCTGGACCACTCCTTGCCAATCACCCTCCTGGGCTTCATTTCTGCCCACTCTCAAACCCAGAGCATCATCCTCATCCTCGGCTTTTCTCACGCCATTCTGCGGGCAGCTTCCCATCATGACAACAGCAACTGCTTCTGAGGTCCAGATCTATGGGGTGATTTTGGGAGTTATTCCTATAAACTCAGCCTAAAGACAGTTTCTTCAGCTCTCCCAATGATTCTATTAACTCAGTTAAGTATCTTAAGACCATTGCTTTCTGTTTGAACAAACTAGTCTGGAAATTATTTTCTGCAAATGAATACTGACTAGAGACATTTTAATGCATCCATGCATGTTTGAAAGTAGAGGGCTGCCCTGTTACAACAATCATCTGCTTGTTTTTGTTTATGAAATTCCTAGACTCTGGACTCTCACATACAACCTTGGCTCAGAGGCCTTGTCAGTACTACACACACACTAGCAGAGTGCTTACAATCACGGCCAGCAATAGGATGAGACACAGGCAGACTTTAGGCTACTTAATCATCACCCAGGGCTCTTGCTAAGGTACAGACTTCTGGCTCCCACCCTTAGAGAGTGTGGGTCAGTGGGTGTGGAGAGTGGGTCCTGGGAATCTTTACTTGGCAAGCACACTCAGGTGATGTGTATCCGGGTGATCTACTGATCCCTCTTAAAGAAACACTGCTGAAGTGGTTAGCAGCACAGTCTGGTACCCAACAGCCCTGGCTCTGAATGTCCACCTTATCACGTGCCAGACGTGTGACCTTGTATAAGTCAGTTAACCTGCCTCAGGCTCAGTTTCCTCCTGTGTAAAATGGAAGTACTAACAGTATGGACTTTGCGAGGTTCCGATGAGATAACCCACTTCAAAGAGCTAACACAGGGCCTGACACATGGTGTCAGATATGCCCACCCCCTCCACAGGTTGATTCCCATCTCAAGCTGAACGACATTTCCCACTGAGTGTGTACAGACAAGGCAACGGAACCTCACGAAGTGACTTTCATTCCTGAGGCAGTGCCAGGGTTGAGATCTCCTCTTGCAAAACAGTCCACACGGGCTTACAAGCTGCCCTATTTCCTTACAGAAGAGTTAAGCTGAGGAGCCGGCAGAGAAGGCCACATGTCCTTTAAGCAGTGCTCACTGCTGCTCATTACCTTCAGGCCTCCCAGGTGAGAGCTATCGGGCAGGTCACTGGCGTGAGCTAGAAGACTGCTACCTAAACGGCTGGAGAGGAGGAAGGCGCTGCCAACACAGCTGACCGTGAAGTTTCTGAGAGCCGACAGACCCTAAGAAACAAGAACACCTGAGCTCCAGCCGTCAGAGGAAGAGGATTTGAAACGAGGCAACAACTGTGCTGGGAAGCCTCGGAGTCCGGTTTGGCCCCTCTTTTCTTTCACATCTACATCCACCTGCTCAGGAAAACCTGTCAGCTCAGCCTTAAAAATGACATCCTGAATTTGACCACTTACCACATCTTGTTACCGGCCTGCTCTGAACCCACCCTCTCTCTCTTTGAATTAATTGTATTGTGGTAAAATATTTACATAAAATTTGCTATTTTATTCCAATTCAGTGGCACTTATTACATTCCCAGTGTTGTACAACCATCACTAGCGTCTCATTCCAGACCCTTCATCACCCCAAAGAGCAAGTCGCAGTCGGTGAGCAGTAACCGTCTCTCCTCTCCTCTCCTCTCCCAGCCCATGGCAGCCTCTCATCTACTTTCTGCCTCCATGAATTTGCTTATTCTAATTATGTACTGTAGGTAAGCCAGTGTGCCACTGGTTCTGATTTACATAATGAAGTTACTGGTGTCAACAATATCCATCCGTCAGTAAGCTTGTTTCACATGGCATACTACAATCATTTTGTCAAACAATTTCACACATCTGAGGGCTGTGAATCCATCACTGATTTATGAATTCCAAATGTCCCTGAATATCCTTGTACTCTGTTATCACGTGCCTAAATGTCCTATTTTACATTCTATGTCAGACTGACATAAACTATGCTTGATACTCATGACTGCATTGTCATCATGAGTGGGCTGCCTACAAATACGTCTTCTTGCATGAAGAATATATTAAGAATTAATATTCAGTTAACACTCAGTAGATTCTTGTTAAAAACAGGATGTAGATCCTGTTTAAAAGCAGCAGATATATAACTTTTACACCTAGTGGATTGCCCCTTGGTTCTGACCGATCACTCCCTCTTCTACTCTTCATAAATGAACAAATCAGCTTTCCCATCCAGCATAATCCATGCAAGGTGCTTAGTATGGTACTAGACACACACTGGATGCTAAAAAAGTTGCACCAATTAAACTAGCAGCATCGTTGCTCCTAGGGCAAGAGCTCCGCTCATTTTTGCTGTTTTTTAAAGACCTCACTGGGTCATTTGGACACGAAAGGATAGATCTGAGAGCCTGAGCTTAAAGTATAACAAGATAAAGTTGGAATGACTATTTGACCATGAACATGAGAGATGGGGTAAGGGGTATGCCTGGATGGTAGAGAGCTAGAAAGATGAGAGAAAGAGTGAGTGAGGCTCACAAACAGGCTGGAACTCTCGGGTGGTGGGGATGGTCAAGGGACTTAAGAACAAAGGTGGTGGTTGTTGTTGTTGTTATGCGCCGTGGAGTCGGACCCAACTCATAGCGACCCCTCCTTGGGTTTCCGAGGCAGTATCACTACGGAAGTAGATTGCCCCATCTTTCTTCCGATGAGTGGCTTGTGGGTTTGAACTGCCAGCCTCTGGTTAGCAGTCAAGTGCCTTAGGCACTATGCTACCAGAGCTCCCAAGAACAAAGGTATCCATCTAATATTAACTGCTTTGCTATGTGATGCTGTAAATGCCCTTCCTCCACTCCTAACAAGCTTCAAAGTCAGCCACACATAACAGAGGACTCAGAGGATAAGGGGACCGTTCTTTCTGGGCTGATAATGAGCAGAAAGACTCTTAAGTCACAGGTGGCAAGATCCAACAGAGATTCAGCAGAAGTAAAACACAGGAGCGAGAGGTGAATTGGGCAACGTGGGCCCCCCTCAGATGCAAGAAACATCAGGTGGTCCACAGGTACTTGAATTAAATACGAAGAGAACCCTTGGGTACACTTGCTCACAAGGTACCTTATATAGTTTTTTCTGCTGTTCACATAATTTTTGTCTTCCCAGATAAACTGTAAGATTCTTTGTGGAAAGGAACTATGCTTGTACTACTTGCCCCGAGTCCCTAGCACAGAGCTGAGTTCATGACAGGCTCTCAGTAAACAGGTGCTGACTTACTTTCCAGAAGGCTTGCTAGTGGTCTTTAATGCAAATGAATCTATGGTAAAGAGCTCGATTTAGGCAAGGCTGCCCATCCAGGTTTTCAGCTTCAAAATCTGACCTTGCACTACTCCCCTGACACATGTATACTGAAAGGTCATCCCGAGTACTGTGATTGACAGCACATGACTAACCCTGTTCCTTCTCAGCAGGGAATATCGTTTCATACAAACTATAACCTGGATCAACTTATGTCAGAGAGAAATACCATGACAAGGGGTCGGAAATAAAAGGAAAAATGGGTCGCTGTGGTCTGTCCCTCTGGAAGACAGAAATGGCTAAAAAGGTGAACTGGATAAACAACAGCAGGCTGGGGGCAGGGAGGAGTTGCAGGCCACTAGGAAGACAGACCTAATCAAAGTTGGGTTTACAGTGGTTGTGGTAGTTGTGTGTCAACTTGGCTGGGCAGCTGGATATAGTGATTCCCCATGATGAGACTGGCAATCAGCTCCATGGTGGAATCTACTGGAGCTACTGTGTAGCTGCCTTAGGGATGCGACCTGCTTCCAGTATATAAGAAGCAGTTTTGAGGATGGTCTCTGCAGCTGTTGGCATGCTTAGACCCTGCATGTAGCCGAGTCATCATTCAGCAGCCTGCCACGTTGTCTGCCAATCTTGGGACTATTA